TTCGTGCTTTCGCGCGCCCACAAACAGGACATGCCGAAGATCTGCTCCTGCCGCAGCCACTTCGAGCTGTGTTGGCTGCCCGACGACCCGTCGCTGATCGTGAAGAAGTACCCCTCGCAGGCCTGGGCGGGCGGGGGCGGAGGGGGGAGCGGCCCTGTCGAACGTCCAGGAGGGCGGGCGACAACACAGCACCAGGACCTCGACATCCAAAGTCCTGAGCCAGTCCAGAGCCCACAGGTCCGGGGCACTCTTTTCCAGCACTCCTTGGAAGTTCATGGGTCAGGGCGGGGGGGGGGAACGGCGCGCCCCTTCCAGCAGGTCTCGGGCCCGCGGTGAGGAGGAGGAATGGGAGTAGGAGGAGGAGGAGGAGGAGGAGGAGGAGAAGGAGGAGGAGAAAAAGGAGGATGGGGAGGAGGACGAGGACCGCTTAGAGGGGCCCCTCTCGGGCCACTTTCCTGCAATCCTCGATCCCCCAACCCCCGCTCTTGCATCGCCCCCTTCTGCTCGGCGGTGCGACGAGGGGGGAAGGTGAGAGGGGGCAGGCGTTCTCGTAAGGCTGCGGGTCTTCTACGAGGCCCGTCAGCTTTCTGAGAACCCCCCTAGTTTGCTTGGGAGCGGAAGCTCCTCCAAGAGCCCGAGGCCTTCTGAGCCTTCTGGGAAGGCCCGCCCCCTCCCCAGGCATGCGACGTTTTCTTGTTGATTCATATGGGACCCCCAGAAGTTCCGACCCTCTCCCCAGCGCCGGCAGTCCATCCCGAGTCGTGTTCAGCAAGTCCCGGGGCCTGGCGAGGGGAGGAGCAGGAGGAGGAGGAGGAGGAAAAAGAAGAAGAAAAAGAAGAAGAGGAGGAGGAGGAGGAGGAGGGGGATGAGGAGGAGGAAGAGGAGGATGGGGAGGAGGAGAAGGCGGAGGCGAAGGCGGAGGAGGAGGCGGAGGAGGAAGATGAGGAGGAGGAGGAAGGGGAGTGGGAGGAGGATGGGGAGGAGGAGGGGGCCAGTAACTTCCCGTCGTCCTTTGTCTCCACGGCGCCAGCACGTGCGCGCCTCCCCCCTCATTGGAAGCGCGCCGCCGCCAGAGGCGGCGCTGGACAACGCGAAGGCGCTCCTCTTCGGGAAGTGCTACACCTCGTACGTGCTGATCGCGGCGGTTTGCGTCGGCGGCTTGTGCGTGGCCGCGGTGGTGGCAAAGGTGCTGAAGGGCATGCTCACCAAGAAGACCCAGGTCTGGGCTTCCCAGATGGGGTTCGAGCAGATGGGGTCGGGGGATCGCGCCGCATCGCCGATGCATCGACGGTGCGGCTCGATGTGGAGCCCGTGCTTCTCCACGCCGACGCCGCCGATGCATCGCAGAAGTTGCCGATACGTTGCCGATGCATCGCCGATACATCGGCGATGCATGGGCGATGCGGTGCGATCCCTCGACCTGATTTGCTCGGACTCCAGCTGGGAGGCCTCTGAGGACTGAGCTCGGCGGCAACGTTCGGGGCGCAAGGCTCGGGGGGTGGTGCCTCGGCCCCCCAAACGCGCACTCGTCGCCGAAAGGGGGGCCGATGTGCCGCCCCGCCCGCCCGGGGACCGGGGACGTGCGGGTCCGCTCTCGGGGGCACGTTGCCGATCCATCGGCGATGTCTCGCCGAGCCCAGCTCGAGGTGCCCCCCCCCCGCCCCCCTCGGGCTGGTCCCTCTGTGGCTCTCGGGCCAACTCGGGCCTCCGGCGACCGCTCGGGGCGATCCAGGAACCCCCAGGAGGCCTTCGGCGAGGCCCAGCCGCTGGAAGGCACCCCGAGGTTGGAGCACCGCCGCGGACCGGCAAGAACGGCCGAAATCATCGAACCTCGAAGTCAGTCGATGTGCTCGCTTGAGAAGGGGAGAATCGGCACATACACAAGTAAGCGTCGATTCCCTGGAGAGCGCCGTGGAAGATATGGGACGTGGAGGGGAAGAAGAAAATCCAGAAAAGATTTGAAACTGTAGGGAATCCTGGGAATTGTGTACGCGCCGGTCGTGAGAGTGGGTACTTCTGAATTCCCAGATTCCGATCTACTTTAGGCGCCTTCCTACTTCACGGATCGAGTGTCGGGGAAACGACGTAAGACTCGAGTTCGCTCGAACTCGGGTTTGCCGACGACGCTGTTTGACGAGTGCGTCCTGGATGTTGACGGTGCAGTTTTCGTGGGATGCTTGCAGCGGGAGTTCGCGTCACATTTCAGATTTGGTTTCGTTATTTTCATGATGACCCATTCAGACCAACCCGAATCCCCTGAACCCGAGTCTTACGTCTCCCAGAGATTGACTTCACTGTTTCCGTCCTCTTCAGTCAGCGGGCGGAAGCCTGATCTATTTTCTGCGCCTTCCTAGGTCGTGCTTCTGCCAACTTCTTCCCACCGACGGGTGCATTTATTTGCGTGTCCCTGGGCCCCTTCTCAAGCAGTGGCGAAGCGTCCTGGCTCGCCTGTAGGCCCACCAGAGAATATTATAAGAACCTTTTTGTGGTTTGCGCGAAATGTTATGAGAACATTTCTGGTTGAGACTGGTTTGTTCACACCCAGCTGCTTTATCTTCTAAGGAATTTGTTTCTTGCTATTCGAGCACTTCGCTGGCGGTTCCAAGAACATTCCGCGGTAGGCTTATAGGAACGCCGGGACGGTCGGTCCCTGCTCAATATCGTTGCCCCTCATGAATCGCGGCGGCCCGCTCGCCCCCCCCCCAGCGGGGCGCGCCGTTTTTCGGCCCAACGGCCGATGTTATGTTACCGGGCGCTGCGCGGGCGGCGCCCCCAGGCGAGCTCTCCGCGGGCGCGCGGGCGTCGGCGGGGAAACCAGGGCTCGGCCCGACGCCTCGTCGGCCACGCGCGGAGGGGGGTTCGGGGGGAGGAGGGAGGGCGTCTTAGAAGCACCCCTGCGTCTTAGAAGGCGCGGGCCTTGTCTACGGATGTAGGGCCCGCGCCTTTAAGAAGCAGCCTCCTTTCGGGGGAACCGAGATGGGTACGGGAACAATGGGTACAAAGTCCAGCAGCAGACCTTGTTCATCCTGAACAGGACTCGTTGTCCGCGTCGCCGCGGTCGTTGTCCATTTGAGGCACAAGCTCGCCTGCCCATCAGCGGCCGCCGTCGAGTTTGGACAACATCTGCTGTTGGGCATCGGACTTATTTCTCGTACCCATTTCGGGGCTCACTTCGCCTCCTCCGATTCGACTCGGTTCGCTTCGATTCCTGGAGATTCCGATTCCGATTCCGATTCGACGCTTTTGGAGGTGTGCGACCAGCAGCCAGCCGCGCCCAGCCTTGCAGCGCGCGCCGCACACTCGTAGGCACGAGGCCCGTTCGTTCAAGGCCTCGGCGGATGGCGGTATCACTAGTTTTATGTCGGGCGTGTCCCCCATACAGGGGGATTTTCGACGAAAAATAACAAATACTACAAACATAATCCAAAAATAGTCCGGGTATTATTGTTTGCGTATGTTTCAACAATTTGGGAGTATTTTTTGAGTATTTTTCATTTTTCGTCGAAAATCCCTCTGTAGGGGGACAGGCCCGACTTAACACTAGTTAAGACGTGCCATCGCGTAACTTCAGGCAGGCCCGCGCATCGGCCGCTCTGAACAAAAAGATCCCGATCCGATTCGACTTTACATTCTGGTGTGGAGCCCTGCTTCCGAAACGGAGGCCTTTCCCAGCTTGCCGATTTTCGCCGATGCGATTTGTCCAGACTTGGCTGCCGATTCCCGCCGATCCAATTCGCTTCGATCGCGGATCCGACTTGTCGACTCGATTCTGGGCTCTCACTGCGAAAGGGCAGGGCGAGGGCCATCGAGGAGGGTGAGCCTGGACATGTTCGCGCCGCGAGGAAGTCGCGACAGGCGCGAAGCGCCTTACATCCTTCTGCTTCGCTTGGCATCGCTCGGACGTGTGCATGTGTTCTCGGCGAGGACCATCGAGGAGCATGTTGGGCCCTCCGGCGCGAAAAACGCACGCACGAGACCGCAACAGATACACAGAGGCATGGACGTCCGAGCGATGGCAGGCTCCGGGGGCCCTGGCTGGGCCCCAGGCCGTGAGAGCGTTCGTTGGGGTGAGAGCGGTGGTTTTTGACGGTCCGGACCCCCTTGCTAGGGCACGGTTTTTTTTTGCCCTCATGGGCCGGTCTCTGCTGGTCTTGAATCGGGCCTGTCCCCCTACAGGGGGATTTTCGACGAAAAATAAAAGATACCCCCAACATAGTTTAAAAATAGTCTGGGGACTATTTCTTGAGTATTGTTTGACCTTTTGGGGGTATTTTTGGGGTATTTGAAATTTTTCGTCGAAAATCCGCAAGACATTGTTCGTTGAAGACAAAGGCCGCCTGCCCAACAGCGGCCGCTGTTGGTTTTGGACAACATTTGTTGTTGGGCATTGTACCCATTTTTGCCGTACCCATGCGGGTGTCCAGAGAGACCTCCTGGGGCTCGACGCCCAGAAAACATGACGTCGGGGGTCTGTGCAGGGAGCCGAGCGGGATCCGTGCTCGGAGCAGGCGGTGGACAGGGGCAGGCCCCCTCCACGCCCCAGCGGCTACGCCCGCTTTCCACCGCAACCTTCCCACCGAAGTTCCGAGGGTGGGTGGAGGAGAAGAAGGACGAGGGAGGAGGAGTCTGAAGACGAGAAGGAGGAGGAGGGAGGAGGAGGAGGAGGAGAAGCAGAAGGAGGAGGGGAAAGAAGGGGGAGGGAGGAGGAGGAGGAGAAGGAAGGAGGAGGAAGGAGGAGGGAGGAGAAGAAGAAAACACTGCATAAACATAAAGTGTCCCAAGAGTGTGCGCGGATTTCTTGGAACGGTGGCTTGGCCCGTTGGCGGCTCCTCCGACGCCCCCCTGGCGCGCGGAGCGCGACAGGGAGGGGGTCCAGCGCCGATCCAAGAAATCGAGGAGGAGGATGAGAAGGAGGACGAAGTAGACAAAGGAGGAGGAGGAGGAGGAGGAGGAGGAGGAGGAGGAGGAGGAGGAAGAGGAGGTCGACGACGACGACGACGATGCTTCGGAGATGTTGTGGCGTTTGCGGAGGTTCTCGTCGCCGCAGTTGGAAGCAGCTTGACGAATTGGCCAGGATGGACCTTAGGAGGGAGTAGGAGGAGGACAATGAGGAGGAGGATTTTGACACCCTCGCGTCTTGAAAGCATCGCAGCGGGAGGTTTTGGTACTGTTCGGCCCCAGGGGTCCGTATCATGGTCGTTGACTCAAAAAATGGAGTCGTCAGGGGTCGGGGTTACTCGCTGACTCCTCCATCCCATTTCTTTCCGCCAACCTGCCTGGAGCATTTCCTTACCCCTATGATTGGCATCACCTGATCTCGATGTCGATCCTACGGATTCCTCGAGTTTCTGAGTGCGCGTCCCTAAGACTGTCATCGCACTTGGACCTGTCAGTCCCAGGGATAGGGATGAGATCGAGGCTGGTTATCCGCGCCCGAATGGGAGTGTGGGGGGCTGCGACAAGATCCCCCTCGAACCTCCCTGCTTTGAGGGTAGCTCCCAGGGCGATCAACCACCTTCTTCGGCATCTACCTCTCCATCCACTCGCCACTCTCGGTCCGCCCTCCACCCCCACTGGCGCTGCTCAGTCCTATTCGGGCCCTCTCGCTCGGTTCAGAGAGGGTGCCCTTCTGCTGACTCGGAGGCCCCTTCCACCCTGCGTGCGCGGCGGGGGGGCCCGCAGAGGCTATGAGGGGCCGCTTTCGACAGATGGGGCCCCTCTTGCTTGAAAGGGCACATCTCGCACGAGAGGGTCCCGCTCGTACGACGTTCTCCATTCCTGGTCGTTCCCTCCCCGACCTTCAGTGAGATCACGAGAACCCCTAACTCGAATACGCGATGAAGACGTGGCCTCACTGAGGTCCCCGTCTTCGCAGGAGGGATGACAAGTCAGGACGCTTCGGTTCGCTACATTTGCAGCAAAGACACCTTACCCCTGATGCTCTTGGCCCTCCTAACTTGGGTCCCCTCCCACAGGGTTTAAAGGGGTTCTTTTTTGGGCTGTTCATATCTCGCGCGGCAGGACTGGGAGGGGTGCGCCCGTCTCAGCCAAGGCTCCCCGCCGGGCCACCGGCCAAGGAGCCTTCAGGATGCGGCCTGCCCTGATCCTGGAGTGTCAGGAGATAGCCCTCCAGACCTGTAGGCCTATTGGTGGTCTCCAAACCAGGTGGTGAGACACCCGGTGGTGACCCCGATTCTCCAAAAAAATCATTCTGGGTCACCACCGGGTTTGGGGACACGCGGTCGCCACGAGGTTTTGCGTTTCTTGGGCCAGCCAGCGCTCGAAAACCATTACCCAAATCGCCCAAAACTCACCACCGGGTGTTCTCACCACCACGTTAACAATTTGGGGTCCACCAAGCCTACCTAGGCCGGCACGGGAACGGAAAGAACGCTTCGTCATGCGGGCCGTTTCGGGGCCCTCCTGGGCCGTCCCGGGGGCCCTCTTGGGCCGTGTCCAGGG